GTTTTGGCTCTTGATTTGGTGAGGAAATGTTAGATGCGGCCTTACTATTATTAGGTTTTCAACAACTTGCAAAAGGACAGGAATTTTTTACTGCAGTAAAAAAGGGAAGAGATGTAAACTATTCTATTTCTTACATGACTTGAACCATAACGATGATGCTTGCCACATGAATATATATTTTTTGATATAAAGAGAGGCGGAGGCAGGATAGTGACACATTTCAAGGTTTTCCATGAATCTTTGCTATTTATACAGTTTTCGGAATTGCCATTGGCAGAGAATTGTTTTTTTTATTGAATATGAATGACTTGGAGGGGTTTTGGAATAAGAATGACTTGGAGAGGACTATGAGTACTTTAAAAAGGAAGATAAACTGATAGGAAATAAATGGTAACTCCACTTGAATTTGGAGTTACGTTTTTAATGAGTTTTCGAATTATAATTTATTCTCTTTATTATGGGTTTTAATGTAGGGCATATAACTCCATTTGAATCAGGAATTATAATTGATTCTAAATATATGGTAACTAACTATGTTTCAATATAGTTCTGAAATTATAATTGATTCCAAAATTATGTGTGTTTTAATGTAGGACATATAATTAAGGATCACAATGGATTCTAAAAACTTAAGAAATATCATAAAAATATCAGAAATGGTAATTAAGATGATTTCAATTAGAAATTAAATTCAATTTAGTGTCTTTGAATTAGTCAATTAGAAATTATTCTAAGAAATTGGCAAAACCATTGAAAGTTAGTTTTTATATTTAAATTCAATAGAAAACATTAATGTGCATAAAGATGCTTTTGTAATAGCCCCAAAAAAACGAAGGTTTTATAAATTAATTATTTATTTAATAATTTAAAAAAAAAATCAAAATAGCAACTTCAAGGCTGTTGACGGAGAAACTCCTTTGCTCTTATGCGGCTCGCCGCCAGTTAATCTCCTCCGCCTCTCTTCACTTCGCTGCTACTCGAACCTCGAATATCCGATATACTCTGCAACAAAAACCAATCCTTTATCAATACATTTAGGGATTCGTCACTTATAAAAATCAACCCAGAAATCTGATTTGATGGCGACCGAAATTATTTTAGTGATCGAGAACCTTAAATGAAACCCGTGTCAGATCTGAGGAGAGGAGTTCGATCTTGGAGGATTGGATGACGACGAGAGTTCCAGCATGTGTATGGAGTCAGGTTT